CTACCTCTTTCTCTTTCTCTCTCTCTCTCTCTCTCTCTCTCTCTCTCTCTCTCTCTCTTTGTCTATCCACTCTGTTTAATTCCACTTTTCTCTTAGGGAGACCTATGAGGAAAGTTTAACTTTCGTTGCAGGAGAAAAACTCGCATATTTCGCGCGCGCTATCCGTGTTTCTATGTGTCCGTAAATATGCGATATATATATATATATATATATATATATATGTATTGTATGCTATCGAATTCTGTTTCTGAGGTTATGTTATCGGGATAATTAGTACGATATTTTAGGGAATACCTATGATTAAATCTCTGGAGAATATAAATTAACGAATCACCGTCCATTTCGAGATTACTAATTCACAAAAGAGAGAGACAGAGAGAGAGAGAGAGAGAGAGAGAGAGAGAGGTTTTAATCGAATTACAGTTTTCTTTGACCAATACCAATCTCAAACGTATGTTTTATTCGTTTTCCTTTATCTATTATCTCGTTTGATTATTCCTGATTTACCAATTCGTTACACTAGAAGAATTTTTATTATTAAATGTATACTTACTTTGATCTTTGTGCTAAATTCGTTTTGTTTTTGTACTTCTTTCTTTTCTCTTATAAATAATAAATTAATAATAATCTAAAGAGTATTTCTTAAATAAATAAAGTCTGTAAAAAAAAAAAAAAGATCTGGCTACGTTTATGCAATAAATTGACAATTCCATAGCGAGACCATCAACAGAATGTTGCATAGTAATTTTTAAATGTTTATAGTCAAGAATTGCAGAGTTTTATTGTTTGAAATGAATGGAGATTTTAAAATGGACGTAGGACTACGTTACCGATCACAAATGTATTAATTTCGCGAAATAATCGATATGTATTTATGTATGTATTGAAGATATTTAATGAAAGAAAGAAAAAAAAAACGTACGGTATATTTTTAATACGATGATGCAATTTCCGAATCATTTAAGGATTCAGATCGTTCAATTATACTTTTAGACGTTTTCAACGGTTATATAGACCGATTATGAGCAGAAAATTTAGCGTGTTTGGGCAATGGTTAAGAAAGAGAGCGAGAGTTATACAATATAGTCGGCAATAAACAATAGCAATCGTGGCATCTTCGTATTGGCCAAATGCCAGTTTTCGTCTTAGCCATAGTAAAAGCCCAAAGAACGTTGGATAAAGTTAACGCTCGATTCCCGCGACCTTTCTGGTCAGAAGATTTCGTGTGGCTCCTTTACCGACGTTTTCTTGCCAGAAACGTTCGCATAAAATGCGTCGTCTTTTTTTTTGCGTAAATTCTTCGTTGATATGTTTTTTCCATTTTAAGAAGAAAAAAAAAGAAGAAAAGAAAAAGAAAGAAAAAATAACATTTTAAATATTGCAGAAAAAGCATAAGGTGAATTATTAAAAAAAAAAAAAATATATATATATATAATTTGAATAATTTCTATCATTATTATTTTAACGGGACACTTCTCGTAAATCGTAAACAAAAAAAATATTCTTTTTCATTTTCACGATTTATTCCCCTTTCTAAACGTAAAAGGAGAATAATTGTAAATGTATCAAGTTCGAGTGTATTGGGCATTCAGTAATAAATTTATGCAATTACAAATTGTACTGTAATTGCTAGTACGCGTCCAGGAACATTCAACTTTTAATAATCTCTTCTCTCGTCAAGAGTACTGTCAATTTCCTTGACGACGTGCCGCAACTGTAATGTTGAGCGTGAACTCACCTGACGATGAATAAACCTGACGATGAAATGCGTGAAATAGATGGAGGAGATGAAGGAAAGGTACCTACTTGAGTTTCTAATGACTCCGACCGCCTGAAGCGTTTCTAGTTATCACCGCGAATGAAACTGTTTAGCTCCGTAACAACGACTGCTCTCGAGTTACTTTCGAGTTCTATTTTGCTTTAACAAAGAAAGAATGAAACAGAGAAAGAGAGAGAGAGAGAGAGAGAGAGAGAGAGAGAGAGAGAGGGAAAGAGAAAGAGTACGTCCAAAGTTATCCCTCTTCGTTTCATTTTTTTCTCTTGTATAATGTTAATGAAAGTTTCCTAGTAAAAGAGAGAGAGAGAGAGAGAGAGAGAGAGAAATTTAATTCCTTGGCAAATTATAATATCGAGCTGTAGAAATTGGCTATTTTCCACGTTCCGAAAGGATCCCATCCTTTTGTGCCTTGTTTAACAAAAATCTATCTCTCTTTGTCACGTTCACGAGCAGTGTTCCGCATCAAGGAGATGCAATTTCTTGCTTTGGAATCCCCGAGAACGACTCTTTTTAGTGCTCGTTAAATTTTCTCGAGAAGTTCGCGCCATAGAGACTGGAATACATTAAAAAAAAGGGGTAGAAAAATGTGGTTGAATCGCTTTCGTTTCATGAAGGACCAATCGTATCGTATCGCGACACATTTCGAGAGGATTACTATTTAATTAGTTTGTTGGAGAGTAAAACATATATATATATATATATATATATATATATATATATATATGTCATAACTTTCAAGATGGAATTATTTTCGAAGGTGCTTTTCCATCCATTCTTCATGAAAAGATGAAACGTTGCTTTATAGTTAAGGGAAAATCGTTTCTTACCTTTCGAGAATATAAATTCGTTTTTCCGTCCAATTAACGAAAGTATTTTCAATATAGACGAAACGATAAAGAAAGAAAAAAAGGAAAAAAAAGAAGAGAGAGAGAGAGAGAGAGAAAGAGAGAAAGTGTAGAAGAAGAGGTTGGTTTATTCAATTAAGGAAGCGACCATCCACGTATAAAGGAACGAGTTTGCCGAGTGACGAAGGAGTCGCGTAAACAGAGCTGTAAATTTTTCCTAGACGCTTCTCTTCTTCAGGCTTTTTAATTGAATCGAAATGGTTCTACGTGCCTCTCTTGCGAAGTAAGATCTAGCGAAATGAGAAAAGTCGTAACGAGAATGATCGAGGTTACTTTAAGGTTTTGGGAGTTATAGGTATTTTTATCGGTTGAAATCACCCCTCTCTCTCTCTCTCTCTCTCCCATCCTACTTCTCTTTTTCTCTTTCTTTTTCATAGAAATCAGGTGAAATTTCCATCCAACCTTAACGGGCATATCTTGGCTTGCCGAGATTAATTCTAGCCAATAATCGTTTTGCGGCTCATTAAACCGTTTACTGTTGCTTACCACTGATGCCTACACCTGCAACCCTACTCTCGTCAACGCTTTCGTATATATACATTCGGATTTGGACGGTATTGTTTTCTTCCAACCAACATTTTGGTTGTGCGATTTAATCTGTGGCTGAGACCAAATCATCGATTTATTTCGTAAAAATTTTTTAACGATTGCTATTGTCATCAGAAGTAAAAAAATAAATAAATGGAATAAACAAAGCGGGAAAAATATGATATTTTGTTTTTCTTTTTATTATTATTTGCCAATCGTGAATAATAGAAAATAAATTTGTAGAAGGAATTTGTTTATGTATATTTCTTAACGGAGATATACAGATAATAAACTTTCAAATATACATTCTTATTATTCTATTTTCATTTATACAAAAGTTAATTCTTTGGATTAATAAATCCTGTTTTATCTTTCAAAGTAATAGCAACGATATCTAATAAAGTATTCGAATATCTCGTTTGCACCATAATTCGACGTAAAATTCAATTTCATCCTCTTAGGCGCAATTAGATGGTGCTAATCGAATTAAATGTAGTTCAACCGTAAATGGGTAAAGACAGAAGAGGATCATGGATTAACAAAAGTATCATAAGCTTTATATTAATCCGATCTAGTTCTTAAGTATTACATATGTGTGTGTATGTATCTGTGTGTATATATACATACATATATGTATATGTATACACACATATATATATATAATCGACTTCCTTTTACTTTGTCTATCGCTTGACTAATCTTTTCATTCGTTTTGATACTCACCTAGCTTCTCGAAAGTCATCTTTTCGATGAGTGTAATCATTTGATCGAATCAGAATCGAACTTTCGATCGTGATCAATTTCTACGACTCCATCTCACTTATCGTCTTATCTGTCGTCACATCCCTATCATCAAAGAATCCTCAATAAGAAAGGGACTGTGATAAAAGTGAGATAAACTATTCGGCTAACTTTTCATTTATACGTCAGCGCTAAAAGATATCTTCTCGTACGGGAACGAGAAAATAAGGGTCGACGTCGGAATTGTGCTAGTGACCAACCAGCTCTTCTATATCAACCTTCAAATCCATAAATCGATTTGAAAAGTCGCCAACTAGTTTGACAAAAGAGCGATCCTGTAGTTTTCTCGCAATAACAGACACTCGACGCCTCGGTTCTCTCGGCTCTTTCGAACTTTCGGCCAAACTTTTCCCGTAGAAATATTGTTTTAGACCGTTTTCGAAAAGTAGCCTTTCGCGCATATGGCCTTGTACCTACCTACGTACGTACGTACGTACGTGCGTACACGTGTACGTACACTTACTAACTTTACACATATATACATGTTGGCTAGCTCATCCACGTAGACGTACAAATACATACACATTCTTCACAATGGAGTAATAGTAATACTTTGTAACTCGTTTGGAAGCGAAACGTTCGCGAGAAATAAAAGAACTCAACGCTCGCTAAAGGGACGAGAAAAAGGGAAAAAGTTTTCGAGAACGAACTCTTTTCCCTTTCTCATTCTATGCGTGAAATCTTTTAACGGCCATTAAACTCACTGCTCATCCCCTCCTTCCTTCGGAGAAAAGTTTCTCCCTTTCTTTCGATATAGGTATTTGCTTCGATTATTCCATTAAAAAAAAAAAAAAAGAAAAAAAAGAAAAACAGAAAAGAAACAGAAATTGAAAACGATAAAAAGAGACAAAATAATATATCTACTATCTACTACGAAACTTAATGAACGAAAATTTAAATGAATTAAATTAAATTAAAGATTAAAAAGTATATTAATAAATAAATGATATGTATATGTAAAAATAAATTAACGAAAGATATTATTACAGGAGAAAATCCAGCGGCGATGCAGCACGGTGGATGCGGCAGCTCAAGGGCAGCATTAGTCCTCATCATTTTTGCGACATTGTCATCGCTTTCAAGGTGACCGTGAGGAGACCTTTTGCGCTGCTACGTAACTTCGCGATACGAATGGTGCTAATTAAGTTTGTCACGTGAGCGATGACATCGGAATCGTTCGAAACGAGATGAAGATGGAAAATTAACGAAAAGATACAATTTTTAGGACAAGAAGAAAGATGATAATAAAAAATTCAAGAACGGAAGGATCTCGTTCGGATGCCGAGTGTCCACCGTGTTCCTTTCAGTAATTTCATGATAAAAGAAAAACGTTCGAATCAGAATTAAGTTAATAAACCTTGTTCGAACTCGCTGCGTGGTAAATCTAAATCTTATATATATATATATATACATATATATATATATATATATATATATAATATCCTGAAAACTCGAAACCTCTCCTTAAACGAGCTCAGAGCAACGAAATTTCATTTCCTGCGTTCATGACCGAAAATCGTATGAACGCTTGTATCGATCGCGATCTTATACAATGCACGCGTGTGGAAACTCGACGGAAACGGCACGTTCCGAAATCGTTGCGAGCACATTTTATCTTCGCCCAATACGAGGGATAAAATAATAATAATAATAATAATAATAATAATAATAATAATAATAATAATAATAATAATAATAATAATAATAATAATAATAATAATAATAATAATAATAATAATAATAATAATAATAATAATAATAATAATAATAATAATAATAATAATAATAATAATAATATAATAATAATAATAATAATAATAATAATAATAATAATAATAATAATAAATAATAATAATAATAATAATAATAATAATAATAATAATAATAAATAAAAGAATGGACGTCGAGTGACTGGACATCCGACACTGATATATTATATATACACATATTATAGATATATATATATATATTATATATATAAACACATATACAAATACATCCACGCATACACACATACACATCGCATTTTGTATGTACACATACTCATTCGTGTCACGAAAAAAATCGTGATTCGAAAATGAAAGAATGGAGAGAACGAATTGAAATCGAACGCGAACGGACGGATCGACGCCGTCGTCAATTTTTCTTAGTCTTTCTTAATTAATAAGGAAAAAATATTCCTTTTTTCTTTTCATTAATTCTTCCTTATCGACTTTTTTACTCATTGATAAAACTCGTTGATAAAAGTGTCTGCAATATCGTACGTAATGAAAGAAATAAAAACGAAATAATAATGTTTGGTCGTATTAAATTTATGATCGGCATTAGCAATTTAACATATCAATACGATTTTCAACGTTACTACATAGATACGTATCGAGGAGTAAATTTTTCCATATCGGGATTAATGTAGGCCACTAGGTTTGATTCACGATCGAGAATTCATTAAGAGAAATTTCAATGAAATACTTAGATCGAATCTCGAACGAGAATTTTTTTTAACGGGTTCACGAGTTACAAACCAAATGACCAAGCTTAGCGAAATAATAATTCGCCGTAAATATACGAGCTTTCTTCGATCCATCGTAAAATTTTAGATTCCCTTATACTAAACCTTGTATCCGAACCCTGTACTAACGTTTAAGCTATGTAAATATGCTTTCCTCGTATGCGGGTAGGTATAACAAATTTAGCATTTTGATTATCGGCCCGTTCACGAAGGACAATCATTTTTGCAAATGTAACGGAAGTTATGTTATAGATTTTCAATTTCGTAAAGCTCAATTGATCTAACCCGTATATATCGTTATATTCCTCGTTCGATGAATTGAACTTTTTGAGAGAAAAAGAAAAGAGAAAAAGAGAAAGAAAAAGAAAGAGAGAGAGACAGAGAGAGAGAGAGAGAGAGGGAAGGAGAGAAAAAGAGACTAAAAAAATATTATTTTCGAAGATAAAATAATACGATAATAATCCGTCGAACGACGGACTGGTTCTCGTCAATGTCAATGGGTATGAATTAATCGTAGTTAGTTACACGATTTATCGGCGAGTACAGGGGGTGGGGGGAAAGGCTTGTAAATTAATCGGCGCCTGTCGACCGAACGTCGTTTCTCGTTCGTGCCAAATACGAAGTATTTTAGGGGAAATGAAAGGTCATCGATCCGGGCTCTGATTAACGCGACAAATTATTCGACATATATATGTATGCACACACGTATGTATGTATATATATATATATATATATATATATGCATGTATATATGTACGTATGTATGAATGTATGTAAGTACGTATGTATGCACGTATGTATGTATGTATGTAAGTATGTATATATTTTGTGTGTATATCCTTGTGTGTATGTAATGGATGTCGGACGATATTAACATAAAAAATTTAATGGTTACTCAGAGCTTTGAAGTCAAACTCGAAAGAACTCAGTATTTCTAGAATTTCAGAGCTGCCAGATCGATCCTGAAAGACCATGCAAGGTAGGTAGGTAGATAGATACATAACTAGATAGGTAGATAGGTAGATATGTAGGTAGGTAGGTAGGTAGGTAGGTAGATAGGTAGGTAGCAACATACCAAGAATAGATAGATGCAAAATATAGTATACGCTTGTTCGTCGAGATCAAAGGAATCAGTAAAATAAGGAAGACGAAAATGAAAATTGATAAGAAAATTATAATAAATCGCAGAGGTTTCGTACGTATCCTTCGCGATTGGATATTTTTCTTTTTCTTTCGCTTTTTTTTTCTCGTCCTTTTTTTTGTATCCAAAAAACCTTCGATCATTACTCAAACGAATGAATTTCATTGGAAGAAACATTACCGTATAGATATAATATTGTTCGCATTATTTGATAATGATGAAAATCGAACATCGATCATGTGCCTCAAGTTTATTGGATTATATTGCTAGCATTATTTCGTTGGCCGGGAAGAAAAACTGTTGGGAAATCGAACGTAATCGTCGCTCGTATCGACCATGAGAATGAATCGTTAAGTAGACTCCACGACAATGACGTACGGACCGTTAAATCGGTCGGATGTCCCGTTTTCATCTCTCTCTCTCTCTCTCTCTCTCTCTCTACTCCCTCTCTTCCCCTCTTTTTCTCTCTCGTTCTATTCTCGTACCAAAGACCCCACTACTGTTCCATTTCTCACCCACCTCAAACCCATATAATACGATAATTTAACGGGAGGCATTATTGAACGTTGCAGCTGCAAAATATTTCAACGGGCTCGGGAAAGCCGTCGCGCAACAACCACATCCGCCGGCAGCAGTGGCAGTGTTCGTGATAAATTTAATTATTACGCCGCTCCACGGTTATCCGCCGCGGTCGAATAACGAAAAATCGGACTTCTCGTTCTCTGAAACTATCTGTCTGTCTCCTCTCTCTCCTCTCTCTCTCTCTCTCTCTCTCTCTCTCACTTTCATACGTTTCTTTTTCTTCTTTCCTCCATAAATGAAACCATCCTTCCGAAAGTTTATATTTGATGTCATAAATTTTCAATCTTATCTCGATTATATGAAGAAATTTCAACTTTTCATAACGACGTTCTCCCTTTGATAAATATTAGAGTAAAAGAAATGGCTTTCCCCGCGATTAAATGTTTTCTTTCTTCTTGAAACGAAAATTGCAAGTTTTTCTGTATTCTTAAATAAAATTTTTCCCGCGTATACACGAACTGAAATAATAATTCTAGACAATTTTTCATTCGATAGCAGTGAGATGGGAGAAGGGAGGGGGGCGCGATGAGGGGAAGGTAAATATAGCAGATATGTACGAACGGTTTTATGATATTTAAAAAAAGACTCGTTAAAAGGAACAAAACGAAGTATACTCTAAATTCGTATTGTTATTTCATCGATTAAAACGAAATAATCGAACAAACGTGAAATAACGATCCACTTGGGAATATTAAATATCACGATTTTTTATATACACTTAACGGGCTTTTGATAGGGCGACGAACATATCGAAAATGTCGACAACCAAAATTGTTTTTCTTTGAGAGATAAAAACGACTATGAAACGACTAGTGAAAATTTTCAATTCACGCTATCGCTGTAGTCAAACGCGATCTACGAGATTGTATCGCCAAGAAGAGAATCGTAAGGTGTTGGGTAAGGGGAGAAAGAGGTAACGGGTAGGTAGATAGGTAGATATCGCCATTGATACGATAGCTCGATAGTGTTGGAGAAAACGTAGAGAGACAAGTAGAAGATATGGCACGGCACGATACGCGGACAACGACGCTCATAACGAGTTAATGGGGTTTTATAGAAGCTACGATGGAGGTGATCGAGTTTAGAGAGCTAAAATCCCGTTCGAGTTCTCTCTCTCTCTCTTTCTCTCTTTCTCTTACTCTCTTTCTCTCTCTTTGTCTCTGTGTTTCTATATTTCTCTTTATCTAGATAATACATATATAGATAGAGATAGATACAGTGACTCTCGATTCGATCTTCGATTCTTCCTGCTCTTGTGAGAATAGTCTTTGTTTACTCGTCGTTTCGTTTATCTTCCCTGTTATTTCCTTTCCTTACGACATTACAGAGCGTAAAGAGTATCAACGGTACGACGTTAAACTTCATTCCAATTTACGTTTATCCCTTGAGGAACAGATGAAACGATATATATTTATCGATCGATTGAGTTTCGTTTATCAAAGATAGAGAAGAAACGATGTTAATGAAAGACGGACTGTAACAACTTTTCGATATTAAATTCATAGAATCGATTTTCTAAATGGCTCTTGACTTTTTCTTCTTCTTTTTTTTTTTCACACGTGTACGCCACGTAAGAATAAGTTCGTTACTTAAGTAAGTTTAAAAGTCGAATGATATGGAAGAGATTACGAGAACAATTATCTAACAATTAAACGAACCTCTTTACGACGTCGATGTGTCCGTGCGTTTGATGAAAAAAAAAAAAAAAAAAAAAAGAAAAAAAAAAAGAAAAAAGTAAGAGAAAACGATACAAAAAAAAAAGAAAAGAAACACAAAAATAACAAAATCAAGAGAAAAAGGAAGAACGATATGATAACTCTGGTGAAAGGTGTAAAATTTTTTTGGCAATATTAAAGTCGTTGATCGATAATCATACTTCGCGTCATGCCCATACTAATGTATCCGTAAAAATAAACGATAAAATGGACGAGTTGAGATCTTCTAATAAAGCATTGTAATTTGTTGGCACTAATAATGATCATTAAGCGGTTAAGCTGGGCGAACGATCGTGTCTGTCTGTCTGTCTGTGTGTGTGTGTGTGTGTGTGTGTGTACGTGTGTGTGAAAGAGAGAAAGAGAGGGAGAATATGTTTTCGTGTGTGTATAGGTACAAATGCGTATGATCATACGAAAAAGAAA